GAGGAAGGGATATCTGTTATGGAGCCACTAGCACTACATGAACATATTCATCTCCCCATACCAATCCTAGACATTATCATTCTTTTTAATTTCCTACTTCAGGGAGAAAATAGAATTTATAAGACTGAAATCCCTTCAACTTTTTATCATCAAACCTAAAAAACATCTGCATCTAACCTCTCCACATTCCATTTGTTACAATGAAGAGAGTATACCTCTTTCTACCAAAAACCAATCTCTCCACCAGTGAATCAGAGTTTTGCTACCAAAGTGGGATTTTCTCATCAACAGCTTCCGCATTATCTGGGAGCACATATAGGAATGCAGAATATCAAGCTCCACACCAGACCAATTGAATCAGAATATACATCTTAATAGGATCCCCCAGGTGATTCTTATTATGCACATTAAAGTTTAAGAAGCACTGCTTTATACAAAAGCCAATTCTCTCCCAGTTTTTCAGAATTCTTACACTATGGATTATTCACTCTCTCCTCTTTGACCTTTAAAAGAAAAAGCCCCACACTCCTTTTCCATTCCAACTTCTCAAAAAAGTTTCCACATGTCCTCCATTTCTTCACCTACCTCTCACTCCTCAACCCATTCAAATCTCCCCTAACGCCATTAAGCTCTCATTAAGATCAATGACCTTGAGAATGCTGCTAAATCCAAAGGACACCTTTTAGTCTTCACCTTGACTTCTCACTAGTACTCAACATAATTGCCCTTTCTCTTCTTCAATCACTTCTTTCCTGTGTTGACATGTGCACTAATGATGCAAAAGCAATGGCAGATAAAACTGCTGGTGCTTTAGCATGAATCAAGGCAGCAGCACTAAGCTGTACTACTAGTTTATTGTATTCTTCACTGCCAGGCACTGGTAGGGGGTGGGAAAAGCCAGTTTCACCACAGAATAACCCGATGAAGCACAAAATTATTAATTTTACTAAATCTTTTTTATTCTTTTATTTTTCAAATTCTCTGTATCGTTCCAATTTTAGTATATGTGCTGCCAAAGCAAGCACATAAATCTTAACCCTTGAACATAGAATATTCTAATTAAGGAAACGAGAAGTAAGCATAAAAACTTCTGCATACCAAAGAATGAATAGCTATGTCAAGGAAAAGTACTTGTATAAATGTTTGAGAGCTGAACTAGCTGCTTTTTTCTTGCAACACAATTTATACTTGAAAGAACATCAGACAGGCAGGCTGGGCGTGGTGGCTCACGCCTATAATCCTAGCACTCTCGGAAGCCCAGGCGGGAGGTTTGCTTGAGCTCAGGAGTTTGAGACCAGTCTGAGCAAGAGCAAGATCCCGTCTCTACTAAAAAAAAAAAAAAATAGAAAGAAATTAGCTGGACAACTAAAAATATGTATGTAAAAAAATGAGCCGGGCATGGTGGCACGTGCCTTAGTCCCAGCTACTCGGGAGGCTGACGCAGAAGGATCACTTGAACCCAGGAGTTTGAGGTTGCTGTGAGCTCGGCTGACGCCATGGCCCTCTAGCCCGGGCAACAGAGTGAGACTCTGTCTCAAAAAAAAAAAAAGAAGATAAAACCAAAAGCTTTTCTTAGAATATACAAAAGACTCACTTCATCTTGCCCCTACTCTTTTAGGGCAGCTCTCTAGCAACCTTTCCTTGTCCCAGTCACAGTGGCTTTCTCCAAGTTCTTCAACCATCCTTCCTATCTCTAGGGAAAAACTACTTCCTCAAAGATCCCCAATCCCTCCAGGTCTTGTCCCTGCTGCATGCTATCATAGTACCCTGAACTTTTCCTTGATGGCACTTATCACACTTAGTAACCACAATTTTATTTCTACAATTATTTAATATCTGTCTTTCCTATTAGACTATTAGGCACCACAAGGGCATAGCCTGTATTTGCTTTGGTTATCACAGTATCTCTCTAACACATGACATAAACTAGGAAGACAATCTAAAAGGTAAAAAGACTTGTTACTATTATAGCTATTTTTATATTTGGGCATAAACATACAACAGGAGATTTTTACCACTGTGTTAAACAGCTTTGGAATTCAGACTCAAGACAGTCTTCCTTGAAGTATCTCTCAAAGAATACACTAGAGAATGATTAATGGTGATTTCCTCTGGGGAGGAGACTAGAGTAACCAGGAGACATGAAGGAAAAAGACTGACTTTTTACTGTATATTCTTAAATAAGTAAAATTATTTTTTATATAGAGCCTTCTAATCCTAAAGCACTATCCCTAATATTCCATTTCCTAGATCTCCTAAGGTGATCTTCAATTCCCAGAAGACGTCACTTTTAAATTATAGTAAGATCCAGCAGCAGGATCTACAAATGCCTGGGATTTACCTATTAAGAACATCAATACCTATGATGACCACCTATTTTGATGTGAATGCACAAGTACTCTCATATTATATATGACAGACAGGTACAACACTAAGGTAAAAGAAACACTTAAACACTTATGTGAAAAACACTGTGCAAGGCATCTCACACATATTATCCCATTTAATTTTCCCAAAAGTCCTGCAAGGATGAGGAAATAGACTTCAAAGGCTATCACACAACTTTTGAGCAGAAAAGGTAGGTATCTGAACCCAGGCCTATTCCACTGAAAAGGCCATTGTTTCTACCACACCACCTGCCTTTCCCAACTAAACAGATGTGTAACTATTATTAATACAGGCTAACTAGGCAAAATGATACCAGAATGTATGAGCATCTTTTGTTTTATCAGACATAAGACCTATTTGCTACTATTGTATAAAATCAAGTTGGAAAGATTTTCACCAATATTCAAAATATGCACATCATCTTGCTTTTTTTCACCTTAGTTACATGTTGACTCTTTAAAAGAATTTTAAAAGATCCTCCAAAATCAACCACTGTTTCACGGAATAAAGTGCCAAAACGAAATTCAAATTCAGATATTTATTAATAATGATATGAACAGGTAGCCCACTTTACTCAAAACACTTCACATACATTGTGTCCTTTAATCCTCACAAGTAGTGCACTGAAACAAGATTACTGCCACTTTACAGAGGAAGGAAGGAAGGCTCTCAGAAGCTAAATAACACAGCAGACCACAGCAGATTCAGAATCTGAATCCAGGTCTCTGATGCCACAGCCCTTTCTTTCCATCTCACTGGTTTGAAGAAGGAACCAAGACAATTTTCCCCTGTGACAAGAAAATCTGATTGTAGAAGGAAGAAAGCAAACTAAGGTTTAAAAACAAAATTGTCACAAAATTTAATCAATTGTGTTATTTTGGGAGCATTACTGATATGCTATATGAATGAAGCATGGCTAACCATTTCGATTTGAGATACTCTGATATCTTCACATAGTAAATCGCATCTGACTTAACAGTCACTTCATCTTACTTAAAGTAACATTTATAAAGCCTGGCACAGTGATATGGCCTGTAGTTCCCCCTACTCTGGAGGCTAAGGCAGGAGGATTGCTTGAGCCCAGGAGTTTGAAACCACCCTGGGCAACACAGCAAGATTCCCATATCTTTAAAAAAAAAAAAAAAAAATTACAATTATATTAAATATAAATAAAGCCTGGAAGGGAAAATAGAAAAAATAATTCATTTGTTATGTTAGGATAGTAGGATTTTACATAGGGATGACTCTTACATTTTAAAAATTTCCTTTAAATTGTTTTACTATGGTAACACCCTTTTGTAATGTCATTACAAATACCTCTACTATATATTAGTACTAAATAGAAGATACTAGAAGATACAAAATGATAACTGATTTGACTGGCAAGTATGAGCTTCTAAAATACCAAACATAACTTTCAGGCTAAAGAAGACCCTCTAATGAAAGCTATGAATACTTAAAAATCTACTTCCTTTTTCTAAATATCCTGCTAAAACAAGTGTCAACAAAGGGGCTAAATTATTCTTTTGTATTCAAGTCTGCCAATAACAAAAACTAGTAGAACTACATGTGTCACTAACTGATTGTGATTTGGAAACTTTGTAAACAAGGATTTTTATCATAATAGTACTACCATTTTAACAACTTTTAATAGGATTTACAACTAAGAATTATTAAACAACCAAAACTGAAGTCGATTTAAAATATTTGGTCAAATTAGTAAGTAACAGAACATTTATTCCCACTTAAAAGACATTAAGATGATTACACCAAATTTTAGGTCAACATCTCAAACATTTTCTACTAATTACCTTAACATGGCATTAAAATCAATATAGAAACACTGCAATTTGCAATTACTTATTATTGGAATTCAAAACTGTAAATGTAAATATAAAATAAACAGTAAAAACCAAACACATGTTCAGCACTCAGAAGAATGATTAATCCGACTGGTCAAGTTATCACTTGCATAAGAGGAAAACATGGCTTTAATGAATTCCCTTTTACATTTTTGCACAAATTCTATATTATAACCTCTGAATAAAATTGTTAAAACTCTCCACACTTCAAAATGTTTCTACTATTCAAAAAAGCATGCTATATGGTTAACATCCAATTTATACTTTCCCAAACTGAAATTTACAAACCAATGATTTGCTTTAACAAAAGTGCACATGACAACATCAATGAAGATAATGGGCAGTTCAAAACCTATGCTCATCATTATCTCTTTTATTCTATAAGCCAACTTCATGGTACAGATTTAGCTACCTTTAAAGAAGATAAATATTTATATTTTCCCCAATTTATGACATATTTTGAAAATGAATCAACCAAACTATGGGTTAAAATTAGTATTCCTACTAATTCCCATTCATTCAACAATACGTATTTGTGTCGTCAATTATCGTTACTGAAGTAACTTCACCTACCAATTTTTATTTCTCAGAAACGTGTAAATCTCTGCAGGAATTTTTTAAAAGACAAAAAAATATTTTAATTTAAAATTTCCTAGAGAAATTTCTACACAAACTAAAGTCAGCAAATGGTTGAAAACAGATGTGTCACTACAGTAACCCCAAAAGAAAATGATGACGGAGTCTACTTACGTTTCAAAACAGCGATCCACGTTGTCCGACATCAAAAGCAGCATGCATAGCTGTTCAAGGGCTATTAGTTGCATGTCCCTTTCATCTCCCTGGCCCATCTGTAGCCATTCCAGCAATGTATCCGGATCCACATCTGCCATGGTTTTTCAAAAGCCTCTTTGCTTAAATTAAAAAAGTAAAGGGGGATAAGTCCTTTAAATGTCCAGGACTGATCACTTGGGTTTAAAATGTTTCTTTTACATCTGCTAAAACCAAATTTTCGTGGTGTCCTCCTAGGAATTAAAAAAGACTCGTAAGTACATTTGGATAGAGTGCTTAATGCAGTTTTTCAACTTTCCTTATTCCTCAGGTTTAACATTCAGATATCACACTAAATAAAACCAGTTTTGCACAAGAGCATAAGCTGATTAGGTTGCTGCTTAATTAGAAACCAGAGCTGTCTTTGTCAAAGACAGTCAAACAAGCTTAAGATCCCACTACTGCTATCACTATGGTCTGTGCCAAAAAGCAAAGAACACCTATTGAAGGTTCTTTTTTTTCCTAGCAAACTTCCCCACTTCTCCACCCCAAACTGATCTTCAGATAGGGTTAGATTCAGTATTTTGAGGAGGCTCTTAGCACTTTGATCCAATACCCCTCCAAACTGAATTTCTCCTTTAAAATCACCTCCAATTTCACAAATTCTGCTGACGTCTCAATTTACTTCTATTTTAAAGATGACCAAATACAAATGATAGTTACATACAGGATTTATCTATGAATAAAAAATTGGTTAGAAATTTTGGCAGTCTTGGCAACTGTTCTAAAAACTTTTAAAAAGAAATACTAAAAGTAAATGCAATGAACTAACAGGTTAGGGATCAGAATACAGGCCAATCTACGGCCCTGTAGGGATGGGGCAGTTAGTTTAAAATAAAAAAATCACCAAAAAACAAAACCGAGAAGCAGCCCCAACAGGCAAGTCATTACAAAAGCTGCCCGTATGCGCCCTGACGGGAGGACAGCTTTGGATCCCACGCAACCCAGCTGCATGTGTGGGAATCAAGCGGCGGGTCGCTGTGGGCACCCAACGGCGGTGACCAGCGGGCTGACCCAACAACACCTAGGGCCTGGCCGAGTCCGGAGCTGAGAGGCGCTGGCCCCGGCGCTGTGGTTTCCCGGCACCGAACCCGCCTAAGTTAGCTACCTGTGTCTAGGAGAAGGGGGAAGTTCTGGAGAAGCAGTAGCAACCCTTCGTACCCAAGAGGAGGCGGCCGGGCCGGGCGGCGGGTCTCCCGAGAGCGGCGTCCGGAACTCGAAGGCCCGGCGGGACGTCCCTGGACCCGGCCAGGTGGCGAATCCTTCTCAAGGGCAAGGGCGGCCCGCCTGGGGTTCCGGCGCCGGCAAGCCGGGTCCCGCCGCCGGCAGGGCCCGAGGAGGAAAACAAAGGGGCTATCGGGGAAGCCGGCAGCAGCCCGGCCGACCTCACCCGGCGCCGGGGTCTCGCTCCCTGCCCACTGCCGGGCGTCCGGGATCCCGGCCCTGACGCCTGGCCCTTCCGACGGCCTGAGGCGCCCCCGCCTCTCCTACCCGCAGGCTCTTACTCGGGCTTGTTGTCCCAAACCACTCTGGTCCAGCTCCAAGCAGGCCGCGGGCAGAGCCAGGCCCGGCCGCGGCCCTCGAGTACCCAAGAAGCCGCAGGCCGCGCAGGTCGAACCGGGCAGGCGGCACAGGAAAAGCCGCGCCTCGTCCCTCCCCTTCCTCCGCGGAGACCTGGTGACAGGGAAGCGAGAGGTTCCCCCGAGCGACGGCAGCCAGCGGAGGTCCAGTCCCCAAGCACGAGGCTCTTCGAGCCCTGCAGCTCAGAGGCCCGCGCGGTGCAGCGGGCGGCGGCGGCGGGGGGAGGCCGCGTCCATCGCGATCCGGGAGGGGGAGGGGAGGAGGATCGAGCGAGAGCCGGGCGAGGAAGCTGCCGAGGGCAGCCGAGCCCGGCGGAGGCGGAGCGAATCTGCTCCCCCGGTGGCGACCCCGCCGGCGGCCACCTGGGGCGCTGCGGAGACTGCCGACCCGCGGCGCATGGGCGCCAACCCGGGGCGCCGCGTCGCCGCCCCTGCCCAGGCGCTCTAGCCCCGCTGCCTCGGACGCCCTCAGGCGTTTCTGCTATGGCTTTTCTAGCGCACGCCCTGGCGCCCTTCTCGCTTTGCTGTCAATCCGAGCGCGCTCCCAGCGCGCGCACGCACGCTCAGCTTGGTTGGCACGGTGTCTAACACTTCGCGTGATCCTGCGGAAGGCCCCCGCGCCACGCATCACACCTGTGGCCCAACCTGTCCTGGCCGGGCCTCGCGCCCAGGCTGCCCCCGCTCCGCCGCGAGCTTCCTTCCCCGCAGCACGGAAGTGCGTCGCGAGAGGAACAGCGCCCCCCTTCGGTCCTGGGAGGCAAACCGCCCGCAGTCCACCAGAAAGAAAACCCTTGACAACGCTGAAGAAGAGGTATTACCGAGTATTATCTCCATTGTACAGATGTGAGAATTGAGGCTCCAGGAAAGCTTAAATTCAGGCCTAATGGCGTCCCCAGTAAGCAGCGGCACTGAGAGTGGACTTTCGACTACTTTTTCTGTGGCTTGTGGTTGCAAGTATGTCTGTGGTTATTTCCTTCAAACGTTTTATTTCACATGCATTGAAAATAAAATATGCCTGCTTATATAGGACATACTTGAAGATATTTAGGATGTGGTTAACTGGAAATGTGAATACAGCTTTTTTTTAAAATTAAGAAATTAGTTCCCTGCTTGAGCCCAGGAGGTTACAGTATTGCTCATGCCTCTGCACTCCAGCCTGGGCAACAGAGCTAAGTTCCATCTCTGAAAAAAATTAATTCCCTTTGTTTGTAAAATAAGTTAAACCCATGCCCCAGAGACTCCTACTGTACTCTCACTTTTTCATCTTTTAAACAAAAAATGAATATGACATAGTATAAGTAATGTGCTCTTAAGCAATCAGAGAAGCTGTGGTATGCTTAAAGCACCAGTAATTTGGAAATTACAAATTCGCACTTCAAATACCAGCACATGCCCTACTGTCACAGGTAATGGTCTTCTAGGTCCCCTATTAACAAATTGAATCAAGAGAAAATGATAGAGGATTCAATTATCTTGTCGCAATTACAACGCACAAGAATAATTATTTAGAATCCATGAGTGTGTTACAGCTGCCAGGAAAGTCTTCAAGGAGGGAGCATCATTCCTCTGGACCTCGAAGAATGGGAACAACGTGGACACTGAAAAGGAGCAGGAAGAATACAAACAAAGCCTGGTATGTTCATAGAGGACATGTGACTTGTGTGCCCCCAAAAGGACCAGCATTAAGCAACAGGAGGGAGATAAAGTTGGGGCTAAGGTATGGAGGGCCTTGAATGGCAGGTGCAGAAATTAGGCTGAGCTAAGTAATAAGGTCTGGACTATCCGGAAAAATTAGATTCTCAGGAAGATTAATATGGAAAGAGTGTCCAGAATAGCTAAAAGGAGCTCTCTAGACAAGGAGATTAGTTGGAGGTTGCTGAAATGCTCTAACAGTGAAGGAAAGAAATGCCTAGTTACTGGCAATAAGAATGGAAAAGAAATAAATCTAAAAAGTATTTTGAAAGAAGATATATCAGAATTTAAGTGATTAACTTCAATTTTTTTAAATCCTTACCTGCGGAGAGGACTTGGAAGCTAGGAAAATGGTTATGCTATTAACAGAAAATAAAAAAATTAAGACTAGGGGCCTATACCTTTACCAAGTTTTTAAGGTGTATTTTCCTTTATTCCTGCACCATTCCTACCTGTGCCACCTACTTGCTTCCTCCAAGATTAATGACTGTAGAGCACTTTAAAGAAACCCTTTCAAAAGAATGCTGTGACACTTATGTGTTTTTAAAGATTATTATTATCATGTTATTATTTTAAACTCAAACATGAAAAAAAAATTCAAACATGAGATCCCAGAACAAGAACATTAAAAGTAAAGAGTAAAGTCCTGGCCGGGCGCGGTGGCTCACGCCTGTAATCCTAGCTCTCTGGGAGGCCAAGGCGGGCGGATTGTTTGAGCTCAGGAGTTCGAGACCAGCCTGAGCAAGAGCAAGACCCCGTCTCTACTAAAAATAGAAAGAAATTAATCGGACAACTAAAAATATATAGAAAAAATTAGCCAGGCATGGTGGCGCATGCCTGTAGTCCCAGCTACTCGGGAGGCTGAGACAGAAGGATCACTTGAGCTCAGGAGTTTGAGGTTGCTGTGAGCTAGGCTAACGCCATGGCACTCTGCCTTGGGCAACAGAGCCAGACTCAGTCTTGGGAAAAAAAATTCCTAATTGATTAGAAATGCATACTGAAATATTTACAGATTGGCTGATTGCCTGGTTGTGCTGGTGCACACCTGTAGTTCTAGCACTTTGGGAGGCCCAGATGGGAGGATCTCTTGAGCCCAGGAGTTTGAGGCTGCAGTGAGCTGTGATAACACCACTGCACTCTAGCTTGGGTGATAGAGTGAGACTGTGTCTCTAAAAAAATAAATATAATATTTACAGGTAAAATGATAGGATTGGTTTCACGATCATTCAAGGGGATAGTGGGTAGATGAACAGATGAACACAATTGGCCGTATATTGAGTATATCTATTTTTTTTTTT